CAGCCTTCTAAATAGCTTTCAAGCGTTATTGACAGGCACCCAGCGCAGCGCACTTTCCATGGCAGTGAACAAAAGTCTGCAACTGGATACATACCATTGTTGTTTATACATAGATGGAATAAACACTCCGAAAAAATAGAAATATATTTATTACTATAACCAACTAGACCCAATTGAATAATAAACAATCTGTATTAGATAAAGCATGAGAAGCATAATGACGAGACGATCATTGGCATCATAACCGAGCAAGACAGAGAGAGCAACACTGACGAGAACATTATTTGACCAAATAGTGGAAGGAAGAAGCACCACACAAACCTCTAACTCTAAAGTACCGTAACCAAAAAAGATCAAATAAATGAAAATCTGATGAATGGCATCGTTAGCCTCATGGTGGCTGGAAGATCCATGGATGAGTGATGAAGTATAAGGCAATAAGGCCGGATATAAAGATCAGGAAGGAGCTTTGGAGAAAGATGACTGAGAGGATCATGCTAGAATGTGATTAGCCGTAGACCTAAACGGGTCATTATAACCCAGGTCCAACACGGGTGCGATACTTGGCACGAAAGGCGAGAACGGGTAGCTAGGATGGTGTGATAGCATAGCATTTGAGTCACAGCAGCAACATGAAATATCGAATCCAGTCGCTGTAGAACTACGGAAGGAGATCATTAAGCCGATTTTCGCTTTTCGTTTGCAGTATATACGCTTTGACAATTACTAATTACTACTAATAGCTAAAACGAGAAGTACACAGACGGCCGTTCACTAACTAAGATGGAAAACCGAAAACTCAAAAGAAAAAAAAACAGGGCTCAGAGCTCTGTGTGCGGAACTTTGTGCAGATCTTCACCGTAGTTGGTCACTTCTGAGCCAACGAACAGCTCATAAGCATCAACAATCTCTGCCATGGACAGTTTTCCATCCTGAAACATTTAGAATTTTCTGAAAATATGTTGCGAAGGGAAGGAGAGAAAAATGATCACCAACTCAGGGTTTGCTAAGACAGAAGGCGACATTTTCGCATTTCGCAGCACGATAATTTTTCGCTGCGGAAATTCCAAATCCACCCATGATCAGCGGTGATCATCAGTTCATACGTGAGAAAGTGAGTGCGTGATTGGCATTTACCCCGAAATGCTTACCTTGTCTTTATCGGCACCGTTGACAAGATGAGTCGCTTCCTGCTGTGCGACCGCCTTCATGTCTGGAACTAACCAACGACGCACTTCATCGCCACGCAGCACACCGTCACCATCAGAGTCGTACTCAGCCAGGAACCTGAAATCAGCACCACTACTTTAACACTTTAGATTTCAACGTAACCGATTCGTCATCGAAAAACTCTTCTAAAAAACTTTAGAGCGCTGCGTCAAGGTTCAGAACAGGAAAGGAAAAGAGAGGAGCGAAAATTCTTAAACCGTGTGAAATAAACAACTACTTATTTGTGCTTATAAGAGAACTACTCCAACGTATTGAAACACCTATCATTTCGAAAGAGATATACAAACGCACTATCACGAAGTGATAAATAAGATGGTTCAAGAGTGAGATGTGGGCGCTTGCCGAGTATCGAAAAGAGAAATCGGGAAGGAGGGCATAGAAAGGCGGATAACGCTGAGCGGATATGAAGGAACGAGAAGTCGTGAATGACGACCCCATTCTACATTCAAACAGCGGACAATCTCTTGGGGTGACTGAGTAAAAGATTACTTTACTGAATTCAAGTCTAGCGTTGTGATGTGACAAAAAATATATTTAGAAAGAACAGAGCTCCTTCAACATTAAAAACACCACACTGAGAGATGTTGAAACGTTGAAAAAGAAATCACTTGTGCCTATTGCCTACTTAAAAGCGTTTTGATATCCAGATTAAGTGAAATCGAGAAGGCAATCAGTTCCACACATGAAATGGCACCAGCGAAGGGCCGTCTGTAACGTCACTTATGTTTACTCTGAATCGGTTCCGCCTTCCAATCAATGCCACGGAGTTCAAAACAATAATGTAAAACCTACCTGTCCTTCTCTACCGTATGCCAATCACTGTGCTCATTGTCAGCCATTTCACCTAGGAACTCTTTCAAGTCAATCGCTCCATCCTTGTTCGCGTCCTTCTCTTTCATTGTAACCTAAAAAGAATACAGGAATATTTCGTTAAGAATTTGTTACGTCATCTGCCTTTCGATGCGGTGACGGGAACACAATAATTTCAATACAAGAATATTCAGTCTGTCACAGTTCAATACAGCAATGTACCCTACATTGTGGGAGACCACTCCACTTCACCCCGCTGTTCAAATGATAGCGACATCATATCATGATTCCCTCAGTATGAGCAGTTCGGAGTGAAGCAGCAGCTGTCCGACACCCAGCCATAGATAACAAAATTTGCAACCCGAAAAAACTGACAGTACCATGGAGTTCAAAAAAGGCAACACCTTCAATGCTGCTAAAAGCACATCAAATCATGGAAATGATGAACATGAATACATGACCCTAATCAAACAAAAAACAAATGTAAACCAACCTCAACTAAAACTTTGTGCATATGTTTATAATTTTCCGGATTCAAGAAGGCACTTAATTCATCCTTGTTCAACATGCCGTCTCCATCGAGATCAGCGGCTGAAGAAAATGTTACCATGGAATGGAAACGCGAAAGACAGTACGACACCGCGTGACAAGAAGCGGCGATAAGCGCCGCTACCGCAATATCACACCGTTCTGTAAGGATGAATCAATGACCTTTGAAATATAACTTGTCTTCCTCCATTAGTTTCCTGTCATCAGGGTCGAGATTCTTGACATCTTGATCAGGAAATGAGTCTGCCATGTACTCATCCCAGGACACCTGAATTTAAGATAAATAAAACCCTATTCTTTTCTATTGATATGGCTGAAATATTCACAATCAAGCAAAGCTTCACGAATGCGAAACCGGACAAAATGATTCTGAAATTATTCTAGTGCCTAAAGTTTGTTTTAAAAATGACTGTGGCTGATATTCCTATATGAATTCATAATGTAATCTACCATTCAACGAAAGTTACTCAGCATTAACGCATTGACGAGAGCGTGACACCATATGGTACAACTCTTTACATAGAGAGAACTCGTTTTGTTTGATTCTTTGGCAATTTCATGTTTCGCCGTCGATATACATCGGATCAATTCAATATATTCATGGCCAATAATGGAACTGATGGAAGGGAAAGTGTGTTGGTGGAAAATGTGAAAAAGTTGGCCAGATGCAGCACAACGTTGTCGTCAATGTGTTAAAGAGTTGTGAGCAACAACTGCCCGGCTTAGGTGAAACGACAAAAAGCGCCGCCTCCATCATGCGCGTTTACTCACACGCCCATGCACAACTTGAACTCGATCCTTCAAAATGCGTCAATTTCCTGCCACCGCCTACGCACTCTCTCAGCAAACTAGCCTCTCATGACTACATACTAAGATCTCGCATATCCAGCCTTTACCTCATGATGCGTGGTTTACTAACCGTCATTCTCAAGGCACAGTTGTTTTCTATATGACATCGTCCAAACTGAATCAGCAGCTCACATATACGCTTTTGCGCTCCAGTTCTTCACGGCAGATTATGGCAAAGGACTCAAGTCACGTAATCGAAGTCACTACGGGAAACGCGGCTCAACACATTGACATCTTCTTTATCAACTTCCTACCAGTTTATCTCCGTTAGTATCCATCTCGCCAAGCCGTTCAGTGACCTCCTCGTTGTCCAGGGACACCATCGACCTCTCCACCCAGTTCGTCAATTCTGTCTCATCTGAAAACGATCATAATCTGTTTGAACACCAACATCAAAAGAAAGCGCATGGTTTTGAGAGAATCTCAGGTAATAGTGAATCACGAAGTAGAATCTACCGTTAAGTGAAAAGAGCGATAGACTCGCGTGGGTGTAACTCTCATAGCCGGAAAAAGTGCATGTGACGAGTAAATGAAGAAGAATTACCAGAAAATTAAGATAGGGAGGAAATGAATGCTGAGTGCGGCTGTGATAGAAACGAAGTATTCTCCGCAATAAAACTATTTGATTCATGTCAATTACCACACGCGCTCACCACCATCACCCCTATCAGCAGCAAGGAAATAAAGGAGAAACATATGATACGGGGAACATTATTGAGGCAAGCTACCTTATTAATACCTACAACTTTTCACACTATTATGCGATCAGTAATGCGATGGTTGGAGGGTTTCATAACAGTAATCGGTACAAAAACGCAATCAATACCCAGCAACGACAGTGTAAAATCACACCACACCACACCTCACATTCCATTGTGTACCGCTTCAGAAACAATCAAGGACTAAAGAAAGCCTAACGGCTGGATGTTCAAAGAATGCTATTGAAATCTCAACATGGAGACCAGAAAAAAAGTAATTTAACTGATAATGTAACTGGCCCTTGAACAAAAGAGTGAAACCGTTGCGATAAGAGTTATAGGAAATGTATATGTCGATTTACTAAATCGAAGAAATAAAGAGAAGACTGAGATTTTGCCACGTTCAGAAGCTGGTTTGACTGATCGGATCATCGATCGCGATTTCTCGAAAAACTGCATACCATGAAAAGTTTTATAACAACTGAAAAATGAAGCGCGTACTGTGTCTAAATTTATCATAATTCATCAGCTATGTCAAACCGTGAATCACTAAAAGGCAGCATTCGGAGGTTACACTGCTCACACCTCACACTACTGCATAATGCGCGGAATCGCGACTCGGTCTGGTGACCATGTACCAAATTTGTCATAATTTACCACCTTTATCAATTCGTAAATCATTCCAAGTGAGCGTTCAAACGGTACACTGCTCACACCTCACACCACTGCGGAATGCGCGTAATCGCGACTCGGTCGATCTTGCTGACCACATGTCACATTTCTCATCTCCTCTATCCGTTGATCGCGGTATTTGCTTTGAATATTCACATTTGCGATCTTACTAAGACGTATTCAATGGGAAATATTTCGATCCAGAAATAACACATGATATGATAAAAGAAGAATGAAGGAACAAAAGTATGTGTCACAGTGTCGCAGCGGGCAAGCCTGAAAAGCGGGAAATGCGTGGAACTTCCACAGTGAAGGTGGGACCAAACGAATCGGAACGTGTCTACCTTGTTGGTGACTCCGCGCATTTTGCTCTGGTGCGATGTATAGAAGCAGCCTTAGGCAGCAGGTGTCAGACCTTGCGACCCACCTTTCACGAATCGGGCAATCAGCCAATTACTGGCCGCAAAGCCTGACACCTGCCATGGCCGCGACACGCTCGCAATTTCAGCACGATCATGCGATTGCATGATCGCCTCACCGTGCCATAGCTTGATCCGAAGAAATCTTGAGGGACGATCGCGCGATCACGCAATACCAAAGATGACGCTAGTCCAACGATCGTGAGACCTTACGCCGAACTCCTGAACAGCGCGTCCAAAAAACAACGGACACGCTGTCACGTAAAGCTCGAGATCAATGGCAGCCGGGAGCGGCGCGGCGCCGCCTGTTTTGAACCCTTTATGCTGCTTCGTTAGTCGTAGCTCTTCAACATATACAAGGCATAGTTACTTGGAGCATGGGTCAAGCCACTACAGATGGTAAAGTACGGCGGCTAAAATGAAAGACGAGGCTACTTTCAATGAGTAGTGATTGTTAGCAACATCGGAAGAGCTCCCTTTTCATTTTCATTTCCACTTCCTTATACTCTTTCCCTCCTTTTCCCAATTTCCTTGTTTTCCGACGTAGCATACGACAAGTAATTATCTTAAGGCTTCTCGCCGCGGCAC